GATAAATATAGAAAAATAGATAATACGAGAAAGAAAAAGAAGAAAATAGAAAGAAATAGAAGGGAGTAGAATATTATTGAACCAATTACGTAGTCTAAATATCATTATGACTAATTTTATCATGCTGCATCTTTTGTTCACGTGTTCTTTTGAAATTATAGTTAATATCGAATCGGTGACAATATGTAAAATGAGATTCTAGAACAACAAAAGATAGTTTTATAGACTAAATTTTGAGATATACGTTGAGCTTGCAATTTAATTGGTCATCATCGCTGACATCATCAAAAAATTATCACGTGGCCCGAACTTTGGTAGATTTCCCGTTGATCTTGCGATTTGATTGGTACATAATTTTTTAAGGGGCATATCGGATGGCCAGCATTTGAATTGGAATCACATGATCTGCCCTTTTTTCGCCTTCACGTGCACTTTGCTACTTTTTTGGGGGTATTTGCGTCATCAATCTGAAATGTATCCAGAAAAAAAAATATAGCAATAGCGATCGTTTTTTTGTTATACAAGTACACAAGAAAAAAAGCGGTGAAAAATGAAAGTAATTAACAAAATTCAAAAGGCGATTGAGGAAGATCGTCCATTCTGGTCCTTTGAATATTTTCCACCAAAAACTCCACAGGCAAGGAATTACTTATATAACGTTAAATATATTACAATTTCTAAAGAAATTTACAGAATTCACGTTGCATAAAGTATACCAAAACTTCGCAGTACAAATATCTCTTTCTTTTATTCGGAATTTTATACAAGTTTTTCCGAGAATCCCCTTGATTTACCCTTGATTTATCTTTAATTGTGAAATAAAAATATAGGCTATTCCAAACCTTACCTTAATTTTCAACAATTTGCTCGACGTGATGTTCTCTTATAGGGTGTGTTAAATCTTTACGATCGTATGGAACGGATGTATCGGCTTGGCCCTGAATTCATTGATGTCACCTGGAATGCTGGCGGCTCCTCTTCTGAGCTTACTGTTGAAATCACATCGACTGCTCAATCTGTTTATGGATTAGAGACGGTCATGCATCTTACATGCACTAATATGCCAAGAGAAAAGATCGAGAAAGCTCTCGAGGTAAACTTAACTTACAAGGGCGATCGAATTGACATTGTTATGAATTATTAGTATTTTATTATCTTATTAATTTTATTAATAAAATAGGATGCTAAAGCGGCTGGATGCCAAAATATTCTTGCACTACGAGGTGATCCACCTCGTGGCCAAGATCACTGGGAAGCATGCGAGAACGGGTTCTCACATGCTGTGGATCTTGTCCGTTTTATTCGAGAAAAATATGGTGACTATTTTGGTATCTGTGTAGCCGGATACCCCGAAGGACATGTTGATAATACAAACAAAGAGGATGATTTATACCGCCTAAAGGAAAAAGTTGAAGCTGGAGCTGATTTCATTGTGACACAATTGTTTTATGACGTGGACTTGTTTTTGGATTGGATCAAAAAATGTCGAGCTATTGGAATCACTTGTCCAATACTTCCGGGACTTTTGCCAATCCAAAATTTTAACGGTTTTAAAAGAATAATTACACTTTCAAAAACAATTGTACCTCAATTTGTCTTGAATGACTTAAAACCAATTAAAGAAGATGATGCTGCTGTTAAAGAGTACGGAATTAGACTTGCCGTCAATATGATAAGAAAAATGTACACTCATGGTGTCAAAGGTTTCCATTTCTACACGATGAATTTAGAAAGATCTACAATATTGATTCTCGAAGAATTACAATTTGTTGCACCCGTGGAGACATCCAAGCCTTTACCTTGGTCTCCAGTAAGCGTTTTCATTAGATCGCATCTCTTTTAAATATTCAATCATCGTTTAGTCTACTGTGTTATCCTCATGTTCTGTTCCAATATAAAATTTTGTCACTACTCATCATAGTCTCTTTCCATCAAACGCAAGAAAGAGAACGTGCGGCCTATATTCTGGAGAAATCGAACAAAAAGTTATATACAGCGTACTGAAGCTTGGGATGAATTTCCTAATGGCAGATGGGGTGATGCACGCTCACCCGGTAAATATATAAAATCTTTAATTCTGTATTATTACTTTCTATAACTAATTTGATTTATTATCACACAGCTTTTGGTGAGCTCGACGGTTATGGTATTTCGCTCAAACATACAGTAAGAATCTCTCTTTATTTTATCAAACTAAGGATACGAATTTTCAATTTTTTACTACTATCTTTTAGATCGAAGAAGCGCTTAAACTTTGGGGACATCCTCAATCATTAGATGACATAATTACCCTTTTTGTTAAGTATTGTCGTGGCGAAATTACTTCACTGCCTTGGTCAGATCAGTCACTTGCAGAAGAAACATCTATTATAAAAGATCAATTGGCCCACATTAATTCTCTAGGTTATCTGACCATCAATTCGCAACCAGCTGTCAATGGAGCACGCAGCGATAATAAAATTTTCGGTTGGGGTCCTAAGAATGGCTATGTATATCAAAAGGTAAAAAGAACTGAGTTTAGTAACTGAAAGTTATACAATAATTAACATTTTTATGCTTTAGGCGTATATTGAAGTGTTTGTTCCACCATCTAAACTTGATTTACTTGTTGCCAAAATTGAGTGTGATCCAAATATTACATACTACGCCATCAACAAACAGGTATTATTAATTGTTATCTAATTCATGCTAAATTATGCTGGTGGAGCACATGTAATTTTTTCCCTTCTAATTGGATAAAATTAACTGGAGTAATTGTTTTTTTTATATAGGGTGATTTGAAAGCAAACACTCAAAGCGATGGCCCTAATGCTGTAACTTGGGGTGTCTTCCCAGGAAAAGAAATTATTCAGCCAACAATAGTTGAAGCTGTTAGCTTCATGGCTTGGAAGGTATTTATTAATATTTAATCAATCCTCTAAATAATGTAAAATTTTTCATTTTGAATAATTACAACTTGATTGCAATTATTCTGTTCAGGATGAAGCATTCGAATTATGGAATGAATGGGCAAGGATTTATGATGCCAACTCTGTATCTGCCAAACTGATGTCTGGAATTGCGGAAAATTGGTATCTAATTAATATTGTGCACAATGATTTTCATGACAACGATGGAATCTTCCAAATTTTCGAATCGCCAGTGAACGGTAGCCACTAATCTATTACACATCTCCGGGCGGTCTCCAATTGCGTTATCAACGATGTGTAAATAAAGACAATTCAACTTGCATCCTCGGGGACTCTTAATATAATTCATTTAGTAGTAATGTGATTTTTGTGGTGGGACTTGACAATTATATTAAAGATCAAACAATCCCGAGGCCGTTCTTTACTTTGTAAAGAACGTGCTTTAGTGTACTTCTTCAACAGAATACACAAATTTATTAATTTATATACAGTCACATCTCTCATAGAACAATTTGTTTTAACGTGTTCTTATATAGGTATTTTCTACAAGTTTAATCATAACTGGTTTCAGACATCCGTGTATATAGAATGTTCTTATAGAGAGGTGACTTACTTTTCTCATTTTTCATTATATCTTATCTATTGGTCAATTTTTAATATTCTCGATCCTTGAAAATTTCATTCCTCCTATTAGCAATAAAAATTCTAGATTATATTATATTATTTAGATTCTAGAATATCTTACAATAAATTAATAATAGTCATTTATTTTTCAATAATTTGCTATTAGAAAGAATTATTGTTCGTAAATGCGCAAATTCATTATTCAAATGAATTTACAAGGTGCTATACTAAAAAAAATCATTCTTGGTGTCAACATATCGTTTTTCAACTACTTTTCCGCTTGACAATATTATTGTTATTAAAATTTGTCAGAAATGTTGAACAATAACATTTTGAAGAAAATCCATTTATTTTTTCCACCTGTATGGTTAACTCGTTCAAATCGGTTATGTGAAGTTTGAGTAGACTTGTCACTTCATCGGTGATAGTTGACGCGTCAACATCGTCTGTTGTTTGTATATGCACACTGCCAACCAAACAATTTACATTACTTGGCCAGAAACGATGCATAGTGAACGATAGAACACCAGGAATGTGTAGAATCTTTGGAAATGATATAAAGGACTTGTGTGAATTAATAAGAATAGAAAATGCCAATAAATGACGTTAAGAAATACCTCATTCAAACCCTCTTCAACTTTTCTTTCCATATTATCGGTTAATGTTAGCATCAGCACTCTCGCCGAGTTTTTTAATAATGGAATCACGCTCATAAATATAAGACCAGCAATCAAAATCGATGCTAAGGGATCGAATCCAGTCCATCCGAATTGTTCTATTAGAATTGTTGATATAATTACGCCAACAGAGCCAAGTGTGTCCGCTAAGATATGCAAGTAGATGCCTAATATTATTTAATTATCACAGAATAAAGATTTTTAATATGTTCACGTATGAATGTAAAAAAATAGAGTCGAGAAATTGAAATTTGCCTTGCATGTTAGCACTTTCTCCATGATGATGATCGTGATGATGATGTTGATGAATTTTATGCGACTCTCCAGAATTCGTATCTTGATTATTTGGTTCTTGATGAAAATGATCATGATCATGAGCAATGCCGCCATGTGAATGTCCATGATGTATATGACCGTGATTAAATGCGAAAATACCAACAAGATTCACAATAAGTCCCAAAAAACTGACCAACAATAATCGATCAGTATTCATTTCGGGTGGGTCAATCAAACGCGCTAATGCCTCAAAAAGAATAAAAATTGAAATAAGAACGAGAAAAATTCCATTAGCAAAGCCTGATAGTGTCTCAATTCGTCCATACCTATAAAGTCAATGAACATTAATTTTAAATAATCAATCAAAATAATCATTTACAATAAAAAAAATAAACTTACCCATAAGTGAACTTGTTATTAGTAGGCCATTTGCTCATGATAGCGGCTAATAAACCAACGCCTAAGGCTAGACAATCAAAGAACATATGAATGGCTGAAAGTGGAAGAAAAAACAAATTCAGTAAAATCGAATTGTGATATATCTTCAAAAAATCATGATATATTTTTTTACCATCAGATATTAAACCCAAACTATTTGTCCAAATTCCGTATATCATTTGCACAAACATATAACTTAGATTCAATATTAAAAAGTAGAAAATTTGCCGTGAATCATCATTGTTCAATATTGATTCGAGGAGACCATTGGCCAATAACGTGGAGCTTTTCAACGATACAGTAGAGCTCATTTTACTTCCATGAAGGGGAAGCAACTCGAATCGACTATGATTATATCCCGTTGATTGAAAGTGGACTTCGTTTGTATAGCGTGGATCTGATCTTATTAAAGTGTATATACCAAAATAAAAAAGAGCACATAGAAGTATGTCCACGATAGAAAAATCGCAATGAAACCAAATATGTGCCGATAAAACAGCGCTAATTATGGAAAGAGGCCAGCCGAGCGATACACGTTTAATTGTCGAGATTTGAGAGCAGACCAAATAATTGACCACAAAATTCCAGAATATCAATCCAAAACCAAGCCCCACAAAGGTGAGAGCAATCGCGTTAATACTTCCGATATGATTTAAATAATGTCGTGACAGCTATTAAAGATATAAAATCAGAGAATATTAATTTAATCGTGAATATGAGATTTTGAATCACAGCTAATTAAAATAAAAACATCTCGCACCATAAGAAATTGAACAAAAGCCAAAGGTGAAATCAATACTGCACCTAAAGGTACAGCAATCGCCAAAAGTCGCCTATTTCCACCAAAATCAGCAGCAAATTTACGAGACAGCGTTGTCTGATAAACCAATAACGAGATGGAAATTATGATCGATATATAACCGATGGTTACGTTGCCAACAGGAAAATAAGAAAAATAATTTCTTTTGGGATATAATATCGAATGATTTTCTAAAGGCAGTAGTTTATGATAATATGCATTAATAATCTAATCACATCAGAATTAAATAAGGTAAAATTGAAATCAACATAATTTACTTGAAATGCTAGTACAATCCACAATAAAAGAGGCAACAAAAGCTATGAGTATCAATTGTATACTGCGCAACTATAAGGAAATAATCAGAAGCGAATCAATTGCAATATTCAAATTGATCAAATAAATTCGATATTAATGAATTGAATTGACATATACTTGCCGTGGAGACTGGATTATTATTACTTTCCATTAAATCGCTTCCTTTCCCTAGTATATATGTTATTAGTGATATACTCCATATCTCTGAATATTGAGTTATCATTAATATCCTGCAAAAAAATAAAATAAATTAATATCATTCTTTAACATGAAGCACCAGATTATTTTTATTTTCGAACTACCTTGAAGACTCTAACCACGCCAATCCCATAAACCAAAAATACAGTTGTGCCGTATATGTTAAAGTGAACAGAGCAACTTTAGGCCACTGAATGTTCAACAAATAAATTCCATCAGTAACATTGTTTTATTTATAAAAAGCTGGATCATCACAATATAGTATATAGAATTGTCGTTTAGCTTACCTACCTTCACGCTCGTCATAATTCTATTCTCAGACGGCAATTCTATTCTATTCCATATGTTCAGCAACATCCCAGCTCCAGCTAATACCCCAAACGTTACTATCGATACGGGTACACCAGGTATAAGTAACCAGTGGCGAGCACCATTAGTCGAAAATACATAAAGACAGTTTGATGTATATAAAAGAACAAATAATCCAATGGATATACTGTGAAATAGAATTTACGTTGAATTACAAATGCTAGGTTGCGTTAATAAAAATATGATTCTTTAGGCAAACTTACTTGGTGGGTGGCTTTATACTGATTTTATCTAAATCGATGGTCCCTCTACGCTTAGCAGGAGGATAAGAGGTGGGATGCGGGGAAACTATTATATTTGACATCACCTTTGTGTTTTGATTTTTATGTTTCGGTTATATAAAAAATAAGTTGTGTTAAATTCATCTCTGTACTACTACTATACTACCTAAACGGATTATCAAACAAAATTTGGCCCGAATTCTATGAAATGGGGCATATTTCACGTAATCAGCAGACATATTTTATTTGAAGTTGGAAGAATACAAGCACGAGAAGGAAATGAAAAAGTGGATAGGGAAAGAAGAGCTCAAAAAGAGTAGAGGGCACATCAACAGGTAATTAACTCACGCGCTATCTCGTAATATGGGAGTGATCCTATATTTGAAGAACTTTGTATCTCAATCTTTTTGACTCGGTGTTATAAAAAAAGAGGTGAACATCTCGCGTTCCCCAAAGTTTCAGATAGTCAAAATCGACATTCTTTAACAATGATTACCAACTTATTTATAATAACGATAATATCTATATGAAGATCAAAGAAATAATATAACTAGATTGATTTGAAAGAAATACTAATTGAATTTATTGAAAGATAGCCTAGTTATTTTCACAATCAAAATCAAATTATAGTTCTAACTAAATTTAAATAAAATATCCCACGCTTTATGATAATCAATAGCGATAGAGTATGTCTTGTTTTTCAGAACAGTGCTAAATTACGTGGTCTTTGACACAAGAAAATAAAAAATATGTCAAAATCTAGCTTGAAGTACTAATAAAAAATATCAGAAAAGCAATTTTATATATAATCTTATTTTTAGCTCTATACTTGTTCTAATAAAGACATGTCTCAGGAGTAAAAATGTGATCACAATTGGTTGCAACTTGATTACAATTCTTTAATTGACTGTTGCAATTAATCAATTTTCTAATTGAATTCTGCAAGTCACAATTAATTGAGATGTCATTTTCATTTAGAAAAAATACACAAATTTATAGAAGTTCTCAATAAAAGAAACAATATGTTCACGATTTGCATGATATTACATTAAAAAGATAATTCAAAGCTATTAAAACAAATTTGCTTAGTTGATCTCAAAACTATATCAGATTCATAATGAATTACAATTATATATGAAAATCAAATAAATCTGCTAAAAGCTTTTACTTTTTGCTGGTAAGCATTCATATCTAATATTTAAATTAGCTTTAATAATTCTAATTATGATTGATGCTTTGTTATAAAAAGAGCTTATTATCTAAATATATTTGAATAAATATAAAAATAAATAATAAGAAACTTTAAATTAAAGGAAGAAATTCTAAGTACAAAATCTGAAAATAATTTTTAAAAGAAGGATAAAGAGGAAAATGCTATTGATAATAAGGAGGATAATAAAAATAAAAAAGAATATATGGGAGATTCAATTAAGATTGAACTTAATATTGATGATTATTTTATTTTTACTATCATCAGGAAATTTCTATATCTGTTGGCAATCAATTTATAACCATGTCCATTGGCAATCAATTATCAACATCACCATCATTCACTATCAATAGGAATTATAATCGATTGTCAGCGATTAAAATCGATTATAATCGCTGACAATCGATTGCGCTCAAAAATCATCGAAGAACATCATTAGCAATCGATTGCAACCGCTAGCGATAGAAAACGATGGTGTGTTGATGATTGATTGTCAATGGAAATTGTAAGCAATTGATTGTTAACGAGTTCTGTTCGCAATCGATTGCAATCACAATCGATGTCAATTGGTGGGGGTGTTGATAATTGATTGCCAATGTATAAGGTAGCTAATCGATTACTAGCGAAAATTAATTGCAATCGATTGCAATCACTATCGTTGCTAATCGGTGGGTTGTTGATGCTCGATTGCCAATGTACATGGTTGGCA